AGTGTGACCAAAACTAAATTTTGAACGGTGTGACCAGTGTGACCAGTGTGACCAATGTGACTAGTGTGACAATGTGACTAGTGTGACCAGTGTGACCAAAACAAATTTTAAACGGTGTGACCAGTGTGACTAGTGTGACCAGTGTGACCAAAACAAATTTTAAACGATGTGACCAGTATGACTAGTGTGACCAGTGTGACCTGTGTGACCAATGTGACTAGTGTGACCAGTGTGATCAAAATTAAATTTTAGACGGTGTAACCAATGTAACGTACCTTTGTCAATCTGTTCCATTATTGCTCCAAACATTTATTTGGCATTAAATATACGCTTCTTGCATTTCTTCGACAGATTTGCTATGCATCTATCTCATTTTCATAAAAAAATACACGATTCACTCTAAAAATCATAAAACTCAAACCCAAAACACAAAGTTTATGCATCGAACCAATCTCTTGTATTAATGAACTTACCTTCAGTTTTTGTCATTTGTTCTGTCTTAGACCGACTCAAGAAGAAGATATGAGGTCGTCGGTGAGGATATGCTCAACGAAATAACCATTTTTCGTTTGTTTTTCTATGTATAAAAATGAAATGAGAAGAGAGAAAATGAAAGAGTTGAGAGAAATATAAGAGTAGAGAGAGAAAGTTAAGAAAGAAATGAAGAGTTATCAAAGAATGAAAACGAGAGAGATGAATTCAAAATGAAGAGAGGAATATCACATTTTCTTGATCAAAACACGGACCTGCATGTCATTTTCTTGATCGGTTTCCTGGCGAGGAGGAGGAGTAGCAACTGTGCAGCAGTATTCTTTCATCAGCCAGTCGGTTTTCTTGCTGTTCGGATGATTTCCGTTGTAGAAAACCATCAATCTCTTCTTGCCAATCTCCCGCCCGTCAAGATAGACCCCAGCATATTTTCCCGACGCCTTCCAAAATCCTCCGATCGCCTTTCGGTTCGGGCGGTAAGTTTTCGGATACTTCTTGTCTCTCGGCGTAAAGAAGTACCACTCTCCGTCGTTAAACTTTTCGTATTCCGCTGCTTCACGTGACACACAAAACCATACCAAAAGTTCACAACTAATTAAGAGACGAGGGGGAAGAAACTCACAAGCGCAAGAAATGTTCAAAAACCCTAACTAAGATCTGCAACACTTTTCCATGAACGTTAAACCAAGAACCTGACAAGAAAATTGCCTGAGAGTGTTTCGGGATGATGGTTGTAGATGTTAACGTCCATAATCATGTGCATAGGCAAGGGCTGAAGCTCGATCTTCGGTTTCAAGTAGAGAAACACGAGCTCCTCGTCGGTCGGCGCAAACCTCCAACCAGCTGGAATTTTACTGAGAAAATCCAGAATTTCGGGATCCGCTTCGGTCGCTCTGGCACGCCATCGGTTGGGCATGATTTCTTGCCAAATGGAAACTGTATTTCACAAAGAAAGGAGTTTAGAACGAATTTAAGAGGCAAAACGGTACGGACGCTTCAATTTCAGTTATCGATTGAAGCGTCGAAAGTTTCAAAGGCACACGTGTAGTTAAGTATCTTGGAGTGCCAAGAGCGTATCGAGTAGATTATCTTCTTGAGTTTCTTGGCCACCAAGAAACCGTAAACGTTGCGGTTTTAAAAACCCTAAACTATTATTATTATTATTATTATTATTATTATTATTATTATTATTATTATTATTATTATTATTATTATTATTATTATTATTATTATTATTATTATTATTATTATTATTATTATTATTATTATTATTATTATTATTATTATTATTATTATTATTATTTTCTTTATCTTTTGTTGCCAGTCCGTAATCCGAAATATTCCATTCTCTCGCCGCGTCTTTTTCTGGGAATTTTATAAAAATGCACTATGAGAAAAACAATTATAAAAAAAAGAATATTTTAAATAACAATGTTCATAACTACACAGGTGTGTTGTGCTCGTACGAAATTATAAGAGACAAGACAACGAATGCAAATGGTGAATAAATATGTGTACGTGAAAACTTATGTTCTTCTTCGAGATATCACATCTGTCTCCGCCTTGTCTATTCTGACTTGTGTTGTGTGATCATTATTTTTTTCCTTTATAATTGCCATTTTATTTTTAACTCTCCAATATTTTCCCCTTAATTTATTCTATATTTTTAAAAATAAATATAAATGAAAACAACAGAATTTGGCCCGTCTTCATTTGATAGTGTTGATCTAATTTATCAATAAAGAGTTGTGAAACCCCACCAAAAAGGGAAAAAAAAAAAAGAAAAAGAAAATAAGCGTATGGAACAAATATAATAGCTTTGTGTGAACAGAAATTTGCTTTTGCATCCTAATTTCCAAGTTTGGGGCCAAGGGAGAATTCATGTCATGATGCTCATGTGCATGTATGTATACTGTTTTCTTTGGTAAAGAGCAACTGCATTGCATGTATGTATGTACCTTAGCCAATGACGCATCTTTATCCATTCATTGGCCCATCTTCCCTAATGTTTTTCCCCTTTTTCTGTTTTAGAATTTCTTTTTTTCTTGGCTTAAAGCAAAGCTTGATATGTATGTATGTATGTATGTATGTATGTATGTATGTATGTATGTATGTATGTATGTATGTATGTATGTATGTATGTATGTATGTATGTATGTATGTATGTATGTATGTATGTATGTATGTATGTATGTATGTATGTATGTATGTATGTATGTATGTATGTATGTATGTATGTATGTATGTATGTATGTATGTATGTATGTATGTATGTATGTATGTATGTATGTATGTATGTATGTATGTATGTATGTATGTATGTATGTATGTATGTATGTATGTATGTATGTATGATGATATGCAGCTCCACATATAATCTGTATTTTCATTTCGATGGAACAATCCTATTTTTAGTTTTTTTTCCTAAATCAATGAGTATGTTAGTCGATAAGTTGAATTTCAAAAGTACAAGAATTGATTATGCAAGCATATGGCCTACGAGTATGAATGAGTAATATTTTTTAGGGTTAATCCCATATTCCCCACAAATTTTCGAAAAAGTTCCAATTTCCTACATCAATTTTTAATTTGACAAAAAACTACACCAGATTTCAAATATTTCCAAATTCCCACACAAAATCTTAAAATGTGTTGCAATTTCCCCCATATCCGTAAACGACGTTAAGTTCCGTCAATTTTAATGCTGATATGGCATGCCACGTCATATAGATTTCGCCAAATCATCGCATTTTGCCACATCATTCTGCCACGTCAGAAAATAAATAAAAATAAAAAAAATGAAAAATTTCTAGAATTTTTTTAAAAACTAATAAAATAAAAGAAAAATACAGAATTTCAAATTTTATTTTTTAAAAATAAAATAAAAATTACATATTTCATATATACACACTTTTATATCTATACACAATTATATACATATACATATATACAAATATTTTTTAAAAATAAAATAAAAAATTACATATACATATATACACAAATAATATATATATATATATTCACATATGTATATATACATATTCATATATATACATATATATCCATATATATACATTGAATATGTATATATATGTGAATATGTATGTATATATGTATAAATATATATATACATATTCATATGCATATATATATATATACATTTATACATACATGCATACATACATATATGTATATTCAATGCATATATGGATATATATGTGTATATATATGAATATGTACATATAGATATATGAATATATATATATATATATATATATATATATTATTTATGTGTATATATGTATATGTATATAATTATGTATGTAGATGTATATATGTGTGTATATGTATATTTATATGTATATGTATATAATTGTGTATAGATATAAAAGTGTGTATATATGAAATATGTAATTTTTATTTTATTTTTAAAAAATAAATTTTAAAATTCTGTAATTTTTTAAAAGTTTTTTTAAAAATATTTCACTTTATTAGTTTTTTAAAAAAATTCTGGAAATTTTTTATTTTATTTTATTTTTTACTTATTTTCTGACATGATAGGATGATGTGGCGAAATGCGATGATTTGGCGAAATCTGTACCACGTCAGCATTAAAATTGACAGAACTTAACGTCGTTTACGGATATGGGGGAAATTGCAACACATTTTAAGATTTTGTGTGGGAATTTGGAAATATTTGAAATACGGTGTAGTTTTTTGTCAAATTAAAAATTGGTGTAGAAAATTGGAACTTTTTCGAAAATTTGTGGGGGAATATGGGATTAACCCTATTTTTGAAATTAATTTAAAATTTTCAAGTTTAATTTTAACGCCATTTTTTGTTAAATATTTGGTTTAAATATATTTAGCTATGTCAAAATTAATTCTAGTATGACCTTCGAGCATGTTTTCCAAACATTTATGCATGTTCGAACTTTAAATTTGTTTGGGTTTTATTGATATTGCTTAAATTGATTAAATTTAATATTAAAAATAATTTAAGATGTGACCACTTTATAGGTTTTAAATGTCTGAATAGAACACGTGTTCATATATGTATACAGATAAATATTGAAGATTTTATACAGATTTTTAATTATACTTAAAAGGGTAATAACTTTCTTATCCTAATTATTTTATTAAAAATGATACAATATTCTTGATGAATAAATATGTATATATATATATCTAATTTTTTTTTATAACGGTGGAGAACTTGTGTCACACCTAGCTCCTTCAGACCAGATACTAATTCAGCTTTGCGAGGCGAATAACATCTCGGACAATAAACCTCTGCGCTCCGCAATAGTCGACAAACCACGTGGAATAGATAAACTAGTCAAAATTGATCTGTTCAAGAAAAAATTCAGACCTCAGGTGGAATCGAATCGACAACTTCGTGTAGAGGGAACTTGTCATCTTTCTAACTGAGTTGAGTACTTTCTCTAATCTGAGATCTAAAATATTTTTTAGAATGAGAAACAAATTTCAGGTTAAACTTATATTGATGGTTATACTTTATAAGCTTTCACCTTTTTTTTTTTTGTGAAACTGTAAAAGGGTCGATATATATATATATAATGAAAGTGCAAAAAAAATTTACTTATAAATTTTTTTTGTCTATTCTTGACAAATTAACTATGTATAAACTTGTCGTTATTATGTGCAATCCTGGTTTGGACTCACCATTTTTGCAAACTAAATAAGGATTCAAATAATTAGAAATACATATCTTATTCATGATATGGTTGTAATCATTAGTTTAGTCGATATTTGATTTAGCCCAAATTCTTAAAGATTGTTTTTAATAAGGATCCATATATTTTTTTTATTAAAATTCTATTTTTATTTTTTAAAATTTTATTATTTGTTCAAATATATTGTAATGTGTTATGTACTATCTCAGATCATAGAGACCAAAACAAATTGCCAGAATTCTAAGAACCAAGCGTTATTTTTATTTAAGTTTCATTATTACCCTACATTTTTCTTTAAAATTAAATTTCTTCAGAATAATAACAATCTAATTTGATTTAATCGACGAGAGAGTGAAAATTTGGAATAAGGGGTCAAAAAGGAAAGTGAAATATTTTTCACAGTCAAGTGGTAATTCTGTAATTAGAGCAGCTTTTATATTTTGGAATTTATTGAAATACAAGGAAAAATTTTATTTTCTCTTTCTATCATTTAGAATCTTCCTTTACCTCTCTCTCTCCTCAAGCTAGAAAACTGCGAAGTAGATCATGCCATGTCTCTAGATTCTCTGCCTCCCAATTTTCCCTCACTTTCTCTCGCGTCTCCTAAACGTTTTCTTTGCATCCAAACAACGCATTCTCGAATTTTCTCTGCCTGAAGACGGCTCGATTTTTCTACAACTCGGATCGATTTGAATCTACTCAGAGCTGGAGATGTATCTGCGATTGGTTTCTCGATCATGAGATTGAAGTGAAACTTTCCTGGAGTTGCTTCTAGATCGACGATCATGTCGATAAAAACTGGATCCCGTGAATGTAGGACGTCTTTCGATTTCTCATATTTTACGTTGAGCTGTGTTGATTTGGTCGGGGTTTCGGCGGAAGAAGGGGTTTGGTGCTGAGGAGCTTCGCTTGAAATTTTGTTTATGTCGAGGAACGGAAGGATGGCTTCAGATCTTAGCCGAACTGGTCCAGTAGAGAGGGATATCGAGCAGGTTGTTCTTGTTCTTTGTTCATGGCGATTTTGTTTCACTCAATCTAAGTCTTGTGATGATTCGCTTTTTTAGATTGAGTTAGTACTTCTATCAGATGTTGACAGAAAGAGCGTTGTGGAATTTTATTTTTATGATACTCAGAACTAAAATTAGATTTCCGGTTCTAGATTCCGAATTGTGCTTGAGGTTACCACTGGAATCCTACACCACTGTAAGAGTTCCCGAGTTTAATTTCAGCTATCGAATGAACTAATAGTTGTGAATTGATTCTGGTTACCGTACAATTCTTACGGTTTGTGGAATTAAGTCGTCTTTTGAGACTTTGAGCGTTCCTGATAACTAGTTCGTTTCTGACTTCTAATTCTGTAGTTTCGAGCATATAGCTGTGGACTATATTTTAGATGCGTTAGTTCTGATGATAAGTTTGTCAGAACATGTTTAAGAAAATTAATTAACCCCAGTTTTCCTGCGGTCAGGAGATACCTTTGATTGTAGCCACTGCTCCTTATCTTGATTTATTCACTTTAGTATCTTATATTATTGTTTATGACTGAAAATCTGCCGGTGGCCCGGATTTACATGCTTTACCTGCTGAAGGTTGTGGGTTAATTTTGACTCAGGCCATTACTGCCCTCAAAAAGGGAGCTTACTTGCTTAAGTATGGAAGACGGGGGAAGCCTAAGTTCTGTCCATTTCGCCTTTCTAATGTAAGTTGGTTGGTAGGGATTTCTGTTGACTTACTTGTTTTCCTTGCTTTATGTAAGAGTTTTCAGCACTACCATGTTAATGCCACTTCTTATCTGAGGTTTATTTGTGATCATATAATACACTTTATTTGCTTCTGTTTTGTATATCGGTGTGCGCGTGATATCATTTTTCAGAGATTAATTAATTTCCATGTTACTTTCAGGATGAAACTGTTTTGATATGGTTCTCAGGGAAGGAAGAGAAACATCTAAAGCTGAGCCATGTTTCTAGAATCATATCTGGGCAACGCACCGTAAGTTTCTATACGTGTGGCTGATGTGAATTTTATCTATTGAGTGAGCTGATGATGAAATGTTTAGAGTAGATTCACGAGACCAGTAAGCTTGCTTAACCTAGTTTATCATGGACTTCGTTTGATGGATTAGATCTCTGTTCTTCCATGTAAGAGTTATTTTCTGTTCATTTTTATGTTTTGGTGCTGCAGTTCTTTGGATGTTTGTTCCTGTAACTGATCTGAAATGTTTATATCTGATTGTCTCAGGAGATGCATCTTAAGCACCAAATTCATTTATCTGGCAGTCGTAAATTCTTTACTTTGAAGTTGCTTCTTCCACATAAGAATTCAACACCTTAAGTTTTTGTGTTCATTATGTATCTGATTTAACTCATCAGCTCTTACTTCATTTAGGCAGGAGGTCTTGCTCTGCATTTGCATCTCTCACGACATTTGCATGAATGACTTCATTTATTGGCAAGTGTCTTCTGGCCCTTACATTCCTAGTGCAATATACTGATAACTTGTGTATGGCGGTTCTTGTGTAGCCTATTTTTCAGAGGTATCCGCGCCCAGAGAAGGAATATCAGTCGTTTTCGCTAATATATAATGAAAGGTCTTTGGATTTGGTGAGATTCTATAGCTCTTCTTTTTCACAATTTTCTTTGTTCTGGCTCCTCGTTGACATGATCATCCTGTTATTCAGAATGTCTATGTGATTGTTGGAAGTTCTGTAATCTGGTATTAGGATATTGTTTTTGGTAGATCTGCAAGGATAAAGATGAGGCCGAGGTGTGGTTTAGTGGTCTGAAAGCCTTGATTTCACGCTGCCATCAACGGAGGTGGAGAACAGAATCGAGAAGCGACGGGACACCATCTGAAGCTAATAGCCCGAGAACATACACAAGACGGAGCTCCCCTTTGCATTCTCCGTTTAGCAGCAATGACAGCTTTCAAAAGGTAATAGAATCAAGCTTTCGACTCAATATTTTGATAAAGATTTGCCACATAATTGCTGCATGTGTCAACCAAGTATTTATCCTTTTTACGTTTCAGGATGGTTCTAATCACCGTCTTCATAGTCCATATGAGAGTCCTCCTAAGAATGGCCTTGACAAAGCATTTTCGGACATGGCATTATTTGCAGTTCCTTCTAATGAATTTTTCCCCTCAGGCCCTGTGACCGTTTCAGTTCACTCTTTGTCATCTGGAGGCTCAGATAGCATGCATGGTCACATGAAGAGTATGGGCATGGATGCTTTTAGGGTTAGCTTGTCAAGTGCTGTTAGTTCCTCTAGCCATGGTTCTGGTCATGATGACGGAGATGCATTGGGAGATGTTTTCATATGGGGAGAAGGCATAGGGGAAGCTGTTTTGGGTGGTGGGAACCATCGAGTTGGAAGTTCCTTTGACATAAAAATGGATTCCTTATTGCCAAAAGCTTTAGAATCAACGATAGTACTTGATGTCCAAAATATTGCTTGTGGTGGACAGCACGCTGTCCTTGTGACAAAGCAAGGAGAAATTTTCTCTTGGGGAGAGGAGTCTGGAGGCAGGATGGGCCATGGAGTTGATTCTGATGTTCAACATCCAAAGCTCATCGATGCACTTAGCAACACAAATATCGAACTTGTAGCATGTGGTGAATACCACAGTTGTGCAGTTACACTATCAGGAGAATTGTATACCTGGGGAAAAGGGGATTTCGGTGTTCTTGGACATGGAAATGAGGTCAGTCATTGGCTCCCAAAAAGGGTAAATTTTCTGTTGGAGGGCATACATGTGTCTTCCATTGCTTGTGGACCTTACCACACAGCTGTTGTGACATCTGCTGGGCAGTTGTTTACTTTCGGTGATGGGACCTTTGGTGTATTGGGCCACGGAGACAGAAAAAGTGTTTCCATACCTAGAGAGGTGGACTCTTTGAAAGGCCTCCGCACCGTCCGAGCTGCCTGTGGTGTATGGCACACGGCAGCAGTTGTAGAAGTCATGGTTGGGAGCTCAAGCTCAAGTAACTGTTCTTCAGGGAAGCTGTTTACATGGGGCGATGGTGATAAGGGCCGTCTTGGTCATGGTGATAGGGAACCGAGATTTGTACCTACTTGTGTTGCTGCCCTTGTCGAACCCAATTTTTGTCAAGTTGTGTGTGGGCACAGCCTTACAGTAGCACTTACAACATCTGGTCACGTATATACTATGGGCAGTCCTGTTTATGGTCAGCTTGGAAATCCACATGCAGATGGAAAGGTTCCGATCCGTGTTGAAGGCAAACTTCACAAGAGTTTTGTGGAAGAGATTGCTTGTGGTGCTTATCATGTTGCAGTTTTAACTTCGAGAACAGAGGTTTACACTTGGGGAAAGGGATCAAATGGTAGACTAGGTCATGGGGATATAGATGATAGAAATACTCCGACATTGGTGGATGCTCTGAAGGATAAACAAGTGAAAAGTATTGCGTGTGGTACTAATTTCACCACAGCTGTCTGCCTTCACAAGTGGGCGTCGGGGATGGACCAGTCCATGTGTTCAGGTTGCCGCCAGCCTTTCAATTTCAAGAGAAAGCGGCACAATTGCTATAACTGTGGACTAGTATTTTGCCATTCATGCAGCAACAAAAAATCTCTGAAGGCTTCTATGGCCCCGAACCCGAACAAACCATATCGGGTCTGTGACAAGTGTTTTAGCAAATTAAAGAAGGCCATGGAAACTGATCCATCATCTCATTCTTCTCTGAGTAGAAGAGGAAGCATCAACCATGGATCAGATTCAGTTGACAAAGATGAGAAGTTGGATTGTAGATCCGACGGCCAGTTGGCGAGATTTTCATTGATGGAGTCCATGAGGCAAGCGGATGGTAGGTTCAAGAAAAACAAGAAGTATGAATTCAATAGTAGCCGTGTCTCTCCTATACCAAACGGAGGATCTCAAAGGGGTGCACTAAACATATCCAAGTCCTTCAATCCAGTATTTGGATCATCAAAGAAGTTCTTCTCAGCTTCTGTTCCTGGTTCTAGAATCGTGTCTCGGGCTACTTCGCCAATATCAAGACGTCCTAGCCCACCGCGTTCAACAACACCAACCCCCACTTTAAGTGGACTAACCACACAGAAAATTGTTGTGGATGATGTTAAGAGAACCAACGATAGCCTCAGCCAAGAGGTTGTTAAGCTACGAGCTCAGGTAACTTTCTTCTCATTATCGTATGAACTTCCTCCTTTTTGAACTGTAATTCTCCTTAGTTTCCTGTGCTGCCCGAAAATGAAGACGTTTCCCCAAAGCATTTTATTATTCACACATTTTGCTGAGAATGGAAAAAAAGAGTTGTCGGCGAGATTATATTGCAAAACTACGCTGCCGAATTTCAAGGCATTGTATAAAAGCTTTTCAATTTAAAGATGGCTATTTCCTCGTTTTATCGTTAAACTACATCTTGCTAACTAGTGAACGATAATATCTTAGGTTGAAAATCTTACGCGGAAGGGGCAGCTTCAAGAAACCGAGCTCGAAAGAACAACCAAACAACTGAAAGAGGCATTAGCAATCGCTAGCGAAGAGACAGCAAGATGCAAGGCAGCCAAAGAAGTCATCAAATCACTTACCGCTCAAGTAATTACGTCTCCCCTTTGCTGTAAAACGAAAATTAGTTTATGCAGCTTTTTGATGACTTCTGTCTTTTGATAATCTTCCGTTTACTGATTACATACAACCATTCGTTTCAATGTACCATGCAGTTAAAAGACATGGCTGAAAGACTACCTGTAGGATCCGCTCGGACTGTCAAGTCATCGTCCCTCAGTTCATTTGGCTCGAGCCCTTGTTACGTTGACCCTTCTAACTCTATCTTTGACCAACAGTCGTTCCAAGAACCTGAGCCAAACGGGTTGAACACCCCATTGTTTTCCAACGGGACCAGCACTCCTGTCTTTGATGGGGTAAGTTACCGACATCAGGGTAATTCCGAAACGACGAATAGAGCCGGGAACCGATCAAAAGAGAGCGAGAACGAATGGGTCGAACAAGATGAACCTGGTGTGTACATCACTCTCACCGCCTTGCCTGGTGGAGCAAGAGACCTCAAACGCGTTCGTTTCAGGTACATTCCCCGTCGCCACGAAACTTTTGCTCCATTCAGAAACGTTTCCAAGACGAATCATTAATCTAATGAACTCTTAACATGGTTTTCTTTTTTTTTTTTCCGTTAGTCGAAAGCGTTTTAGCGAGAAGCAAGCGGAACAATGGTGGGCCGAGAATAGAGCACGAGTATACGAACAATACAACGTCCGTACGGTTGATAAATCCAGTGTTGGTGTAGGAAGTGAAGACATACCTCATTGAATTCGTTTCTTTTACCACCAAAATAACACCAAATCGGACTTTTCATGGCTTATATTTTTTTTTTCCGACCAAATTCGCGCCCCGTGATCGGGTTTCGGCAAGTTTGTGAGGAAATCGGGTTGGATATAATGACAAATATAGAGATTAGGGTTATTTTTCCTTCTTTGATGCTAGTTTGGCATTGTATGTGTTCATTTTCTGTTTTCAGGGTTTGTCATGTGTCACCCTGAGTAGTGGGAATGGTATGATTTTTTTTTTTTTTTTTTTTTGCTTCTTTGTATGGGGTGAAATTTAGTAAGTTGTAAATTTTTTGTGGGTAACACTGTAAAGTCTACAAGCGCATTATGTTTTACTCTACAAAATATTATTGCTGATTCTTTTACTTTGTGTTCCTCAATCTCTTCAGATTGGGACTCCGTGGTTTATAAAGAAAAGATGGATAGACCGTTTTGTTTTATGCAAGTAGATCATAGCGTGTTTTAATTCCATATAGTAATATCTGAAACCAAAATGACTGTAGATTAGACGGGTTAGAAATTTCTATCCTATAAACCTGAGGGTTGGGCAAAAACACGAATTTCGAATATCCGGACGTCAATGATAATAGTTTGAGTAATCGGAACTAAAAACATTGATTTCAGGTTTGGATCAAATCCAAGAATCTGGTTCCGAGAGGGGGTACTTGAGTTTGTTGTAAAAACCCATTTTGCCCTTACTTTTTTTTTATATTCACAGATATGCCTATATATATATATAATCAGGAAATACCCTAATCATTCACTTCACATAAAGAAGTTAGAAATTGCCCCAGAAAGTCATGACCTCGGTCAACTCCAAAAAGTTTTCTTCGGTTAACTGAGAATTGAGACATGCTTTCACTCTCTTTTGAAAATTGAAACACACATATGAAGAGGTAACCTTACCTCCAGAGATCATTCGTTATACATCAGTGGGATGAGTTAGTACTTGCAACACTATATATAGCATACCACAATTATATATACACACACTTTTATATTTCACAAGCCTTCACTTGGAATATTATAGGAACCAAATATCAGAGCTATGATGGTTCCTCATGCTTCTGAGATAATGGGTTTCCTCATTTCTGACAGCCATCACAGCACAGTAAGCTCCCATCCATTTTACACAGGCAACACTCATCACTGTTCCAGTCAGAAGAAACATCAATTACCTCAGCATTTAAAGACAAATCATTGCCCAGTTCCACAATACTTCGTCTTCTCCTTCTCGTGTCAGTGTTCATGCTCCTATCGAGTTCCATTTCAAACTCGGGTGCCAAAGATCTTCTATTAAGCTCTGATCTCACGGCTTCAACATCTATCATGTCGTCACACAAGCGACGTAGTATCCACGACGTAAGATGACGTCTAAAACCCCTCTCTACAACTTTGAGAAACAGTCATATGTTAGAAATCAAACTCTCCTTTTGCCCTAAAACCTCCCCACCTTAAGTCACTCTTCATCCTGTCTAACTAAAAACTACCACATCTAAAATCCCATCTAAACCGTCTTTTTTGTTTTTCCATTTCGAGTTAGCAGACTCCAAAGCCAATCCCATGCCACGGGAAAACCTGAATATATTTTCACCTAAATCAAGTCTCAATTGGTTAGCCGGAACAATACCTGTCTCGGGTCGCTTTTCTTTTAACAAAGACCTTGTCCTAAGATCGTATAGAAGCTCCTCACGACCCGAGTTCTCTCACTTGCTGTTCCTCAATTTGCACTTCCATATCGTCTCCCCCTAAAGAATCTGTTTTTACAAATGCAGAAGCTCTTTGTTCATCCAAAGTCACCGAACCAGAAACAGCTTCCCATGGAATTAGGACAGTACAGGTAATATAGATTATGGATGAGGACACTCGGGAGGTGACTGTTTCCGACAGATATGGCAGCGGAATCCAATCAGCATGTCTGATTTCTCCTCGTTGAGCCCATATGCTTCCCCATGGAACCATCCTACAAAATCCAAAGATACATGAATTAGAACCTACAAAAGGAAACTGTAATTGAATCTCGAAGATGGCGAGGATGCTAATAGAGTAAAAACACGTGTCACTGTTACCTCCGCAAATTTCACAGGCAATGAGAGCTGACGAGGATGCAGATTCAGAGGAAGCACATATGTGGCATTTAGGAATGTCGTTATCGGTATCTGAGTTTTCTGAAGGAATAAAATATCTGTCTCCCTGGAACTTCGCTACACGTTCATCACCAGGTTTTCTGGACAACAGAAGACCGTTCAACCAATAACTAAAGAGCCTTTTCGTTCTCTTCTTTATCAATGGAATTTCTCGTTTAACTTTCTTTGGCCTGCCACGACCTCTTTTCGGTTTCGGTTTCTGTTTCTTGTTTATTAAAGCTGGAGGTTTGCTTTCATCTTGCAGAGGGAAAACATGCTTTCGTCTTCTGGTTGAACGACGCAGACTTAAGCTCGTGACAACCTTCTTATGATTCTGCAACCTAAGAGAAATCTTCTCTGCCACTGAGATTTTAGTCTTCTTTACTCGAGATGACTTGCGAGTCGGTGTGACCTTTTTATGCTTTTGTGTCTGAAGTCCAAAACTTTTGCGGCGGAAACTCCCAGGTGGCCGCCCTCTTTTTCGTTTCATTGGTTGTTCCTTTGCTAGAATTTCACCACGGCATTGGTGGCAGATATACGAGCATTCCTCGCCATCTGCCTTCCTGACATGTTTTTTGTGGAAATATCCTGAAATTCATATCACATCACACCAATAAGTAAGATTTTCAGCACCAGATCACATGTATAATAAACAAAGGTTTTGTGTTTTTCTTTGTAAGAGTTCCAATTTTAAAGTTTCAGTCGAAAAGAGAAATACTCACCCTTGCAGATGTAGCAGCAAACAGACTCACTGTCATTATCAGAAAGAGAAACATGAAAATGGATAAGTAACAACTTTCTTGGGGTCAACAGATAAATATAAATTCGATAAAGTTACTGTATTATCAAATTTATAACTAAATCAAGAGAGGAAAAAGAGGGCGGAATTTAAATTCCAGAAGAAGAAAAGAGTGGAGATAACAAGGGTAAACCTCAAAAGCACATCTTTGTTGCAGTGTGCACACTGGGAAGATTCAGATCTTTCTGCCCTTGCAAAGAGGTACAAGAAACCCTTTTGCTCTGAGGACCTTTTGCGTGCCTTGCCGACCTCAGACCGTCTGAAAGAGGTTGCCTTACCAGTTTTTCTCGCGATTTTCTTCTCTTCAAAGCCTTTCAGGAGATGTAAAGGCACATGCATTTCGTTCAGCCAAAATTTCTTCCTCCCGCTAGAGGATTCTTCAGCCATGCAACCGTTTTTCAAGACGACATCAGGAATATTTCTCCTCTTACCAAAATCGAGGAGATATTTCACATTTTCTGCTTCCAAGGACTTCCTACGAACAATGGCCTTTTTGAAGAGCCTCACATATTTTTTGGATTCTTTATCCAATGCTGGAAGGAGATGAGTGTTTTCAATATCAACCCACTTGATGTAAGAATCAAGTTCCCTCACCTGAAATCATGGAATTAGCTACGAATTGTCCCAGAAGTGGTAAATGACTGAAATTCACTTGTTACAGATAGTGGACACAAGTAAGGATTCAATCATTAATTACACACATGCAAAAAATTCGAACTTCTGATCATTTTCTTTATTTCACCAAATACAAAAGGTCCAAGAGTAGAACAAATGAAAAGCAAAGGTAAGTAAAATCATCATCAACAAAAAAGTTTTAAGCCAAAAGGTTCAGTGAAGTTATTGTCAGAAATGATATCAAATAGCATTAGACCCTAAACTAAATTCTAAGACATGACAAATACACCCCAGGAGAAATAAACCTTGACATATCTAACCAATGACAAGAAACAAAAAAATTAGATTAGCCGAATACAGTTTATTTTACCTGCAAACCGAGCTGCTCCGAGGTTGTACATGACCCAACTGCTGCTTGCCATGCAACACGTCGGCTTCTTCTAGGGGGATCTGAATTCTCAGGATAAAATATTCCTGGAATCTTTCTACTTCCACCTGCAAGAAACAAAAAGAAAGCATAAATTTAGGATAGTGCCAACACGAAGAAGAGTGCAAAAACAAAATAAAAAACTGTAAACTCCACAAGATTAGAAATTCTAACAAAACGAAAAGGCAAACCTTGTTTGGCTGCCTTCAAGACCAAAGACTGAGGCAAAACTTTCCAATTGAATAATTGTCGTGAAAGCCGGCCACCTCTCCACCAACACATGGTCAATCCCACGTCTGTTTTTGTGGTATGTTTAACCCCAGGATCCCTCATCCTTCCCCTTCTTTTATCAATCGCACGCTTTGACAGTGAGCATGTTGAAGCAGTAACAATATGGATTGCCGAACCCATTGTCATGCCAAAATCTACATGGTTTAGCCACTCTGATGAAAGCACTCGATAATGCAGACTTTCCTCTAACTGTTCAATGATAATAACACAATCTTTTAATATAGAATCAAGCAAATGATGCATGCAAGAAAGAGTTGCACAACTACACTCGTCAGCAAATTAAAAAATATCAAGAGCTCAAGACGCCAAGCACTGATTATGATAGCTAAATCTTAAGCCATCTAAAAGACTATTAATATTCGACAATGCTAGCCAAACTACAAACAACATGATAGCTTTTCCACTATGAAGAAATATGTTTACAAACAGAAGACAACTTTTACATAACAAACCTATCGACAATGACACAAAACATGTACACTTGCACAGGATAAGCTTAGGGGTCGAACAGGTCAGTTAGTGTAAGGACCGACATAGGATTCAATTTACATATGATCCTACTTCTGTAGCTGCTAATATGAAATAAATGTTGACAGGAGGAAGATAGTACTTAGAAACTTACTTTAAGCAATAAAAGCTTCAAACCCAAAGTATTTGATGCATTGAGAATGCTGTCACGCCAGATCCTGGAGTACTGTGGATCCGACCATGGACCAGTGAGAAGGCCACGAAGTCGATTTTCCATGGAGATTATTTGACACATGACAGCCAAAAGGTGACTGTTCTTGTTATTGGATTTAATACTAGCCATCTCACTTTCATGAAGGCCACGGACCGGCCCGAGACTCATGTTAAATAAACAATCCATCTCGTTCCCCACACCCTCAGAAGGATTTTTGCAGGAAAAGCACCACCCACATGTTTCTTTCCATGCATCTAGATACATGCTTTGGATGTTTCCCCAATGAAATTTGTTGGAGTTCATCAATATAGTTTTCAACTGGATAGAAATAATATCTTCATCAGATTTCACTTCGTTACTATGGATTGGTAACTTATGCAACAACTCCCCAGCAATCAGTGAAGTCATCCGAGCAAAAATGTAACAGTTTCTGTAGCCTTTTTCACTTTGCATCTCCAGTTTGTTTCCCTTCCTTGTGTTTATTCTAGAAAAATTATTGGAAGGCAAATGGCTATCCTTTTCTTGTTCTTTCATGATGTCCAAATTGCTAGATGGTGCTTCCTCATGGGAACTACCAGAACCGTTTTGCATCATCTCGGCAGACCCTTCAGAACTCATTTTCCTGATATCTAGTCCACTAGTTGAATCTGATAGCTTTCGAGAACTCTTAAGATGACGATTATCCGAATGCCCGAGAATTGATATTCCATCCATTCCTTCAACAGCAGTTGCAGTCTTCACTTCAGGAGCTGGTGAAGTTGCCACAGCCTTAGACCCATCAGTAGAAGGAATAGTTCCTTCTGCTGATCCATCCACACTTGCAGACATTTGAGGATTCACACTGCTGATTGTTCTTCTTGAGCCAACAGGAATGTCCCAGTGTTTGTTAATAGCATTTACTACATCTTTATAGAGACTACCACACAACTTTAGCACCTCCACCACACGGTTCTCATCATTCATGTCATAGTAATTCAGTGACCCTGAACCATCCGTTTCTATCCTGCAATTCATAAGAGAATAACATCAACCAGTTCTTGAAGCAAGCATATTCCAGATACTATAATCATATAACATGACATATGGCGAATGTTTATAGTTATTTTATAAAAATACAAAACATCCAGTCATTCACGAGATCTAACCAGAGACTTGTTTTCCTTTTTTCGGGGCACTAAACTTGAGAAAAAAGGAACTGACTGTAAACAGATATTGTGAATAAGTGAATGTATCTTATCATCCTCGACTAAATCTTTCACCATATAAACTACATACCAGAGACAGTTTGGGCGACATTTTGTAACTAAACAAAGAGAGAAAAAAAAAAGGCCATTTTACATGTATCGCCATGCTACAACTTCAAAAAACTAGGAGCGGCGGAACAGGACAATAGTTATTCAAGAAACCAGTTATACTGCAGAAAACATTTTACAGATTAGAACAGAAAAAGTCATAAATAATCATCATTCTGTTTGGTTGGTGCACTAAAAATCTGATCACTTAATTTGTGGGTGTGGAAATGGGAGAGTATAACCAACGTTAGAATAGAGAAGAAAATAATGTGAATATCCAAATTCTACAAAGCTTTTATGAGCCACTCACAACCCAACAATGGACAATGATCATCAAGATTCTATAACTAATGTCGTTTACATTTTACACAATAGACAGAAACCATAAACAAGCTTGAAATCCTTTAGATAGCTAAAACTTAGAATAAGTTTTCCAACCTAACATATCCAAGCAGAAGCAATCCTCCAAATATCAAAATTACCTCCCATTGGTTTGGTCTCATGAGATATGTATATGCACGTTATCACCAAATTCTGATATCATTGAGTTGGGATGAGCGAAACCATAAAAAAATTCATGCAAATATGTGATAGAATCGGAAAATAAGTAGTCATCGGGGTGAATCCAAAATATAGGTTTGGCGATACTTACACCAATAGGTACCCGCAACTGCTATAGTATTGCCGTCCATGGGGATCAGTTTCTATGTATTCTGCTCCTCGAACTAGCCTTCCAGGCTTTAATCCTGGCCTACGCCTATCAAATGAACATTCAGGACAGTACCAATCACCCTCGGGCAAAAGGTGACTGGCGACACCAACACACTTAGAGTGATAGGCAGCTGGACAGCCATCACAGCACAGTAAGCTCCCATCCATTTTACACAGGCAACACTCATCACTGTTCCAGTCAGAAGAAACATCAATTACCTCAGCATTTAAAGACAAATCATTGCCCAGTTCCACAATACTTCGTCTTCTCCTTCTCGTGTCAGTGTTCATGCTCCTATCGAGTTCCATTTCAAACTCGGGTGCCAAAGATCTTCTATTAAGCTCTGATCTCACGGCTTCAACATCTATCATGTCGTCACACAAGCGACGTAGTATCTCGATTTTCAGAGTCACAGATTGTTTGAAGTATTCCTTTCTGAAGAAGTTTAACCGACCAAGATCGAATACAGGACCGTGGTCTGACCCACGAAATAGTAGATACTCTACCAAAAAAAGAGGATAAGTAACCAGATCCAGCATATCCCAATCAAGACTCCTACATTCAAGACAACCACCAAAATGTAAGAACCAAAAATGGATCACATCCCTACAACAGAAGCGCCCCAAGTTATCTATGCCTAGAGCATGAGTGTGCAGCAGACAATAAAATATACCTTAGGATATAAGAAGCAGATAGGTCACCTTCAGCAGCAACTTGTTCCAAATGCTTTCTCAATATTTGTAAGACAGAAACATGGATGCTATCAAATAACAGGCTAGGAGAGACGCACCTCAGAGCTTCCACGAAATCCTCCAACTCAAAAGGGCTTAGAAACAATAAAGTACTGAATGACCTCAGACAAGAATAAACAGAAAAGATATCAAGCAAAGGAAGACCTTTGAAGCTCAAGTTACGGGAAGATGGTGGCAATTGTGGCTTTTGGTTGAGCAAAGTATTCACAATTAAATGCTCCACCTCTGTCTGACCACTGACTGCAGGAGAAGGGCATACTTCATCGAGTAAACAAGTAGTCGATGTGGGAGTGACACGAGTCCGTGATGACATTCTACGAGTGCTTCTTCGTAACACAGTTTCAGTCATAAAATTTGAGTTATCCAAAACTTTTATTCTTTTCCTCTGGCCGTTCCTTAATTCGTACGAATTTCCTCTATCAGACTGAGACTCGTCAACAACTCTATCGCGATGCTCAGAAGGATCATCCTTCTGACTGACACCATTAGAATCAGGGGTATAAAATTCTTGACCTGAAACACTATTTTGCATCTGAATCTCCTCGATAAGCTGTTCGTGTGTTACTTTAGCAACATGAGCTTCTTTAAACTCTCCATTCTCAAGATAATTGTGGAAACCGGTATAATCCTGCTCACTGGGTTCTTGATCTGCACTGTTTCCATTTATTTGAACGTCCATACCAGCCTTGTTATTCTCCACATCAATCTCCAAATTCAAATCAAACCCCTGCTCTCTCTTCTGCTCATCCAAAGCAGAGCCACCAACCTCATCCAAATCACCGTTTGCATCCAAGTTCAGGTCAATATAACTCCTTTTCTCACTTAAATTTTCTTCGTGATCGATATTCACATGAATCAAACCTAACTCTTTATTCGAATTCAAATCAAATCCAGTCGTCAAATCCCCCACTTCCTCATTCAAATCCGTCCCAGACGCGCATTTCCCACCAAGGGTTTCATCAGGCCCACAATTTAAATCGACATTCCCACTCAAATTCGCACCAAAACGCTCACTAATCCCAGTGTTCTCCACAAACCCATAATTCAAATCGACATTTTTTAACGGTTTTACCTCGTTTCGTAATCGTTCTTCCTTACCGCCAGAATCGCCGCGCCTGATGTCTCGGATCATCGCGACCCGCGCGCGCTTCTTCGGCCTCTGACCAACGCGCGGCTCCACCCCGACCATCTCCTCCGGAGAATCCCCTCCTCCGACCAGAAGCGCGACAACCTCCTCCAATTCAGAAATCTCGGCAAGACCGTTCTCGTAAACAATTTCGAAGAACCCAGACGAGGTATCGCAAGATCGAACAGTTCCCCACTAAAACCCAAGCACCTCGAGCTCTTTCCTGAAGACTTTGCCCACGAACTCCATAGTTTGCGAACTTGATTTAGATTCTTGGGACGAGAGAACCTATGAACGAATGAAGCAAAGGAAACCCATAAAACCCAGTCTGGGTTCCGAAGGGAGAGAGAAAGCAGTGGGTCGACTTCGACTCCTCTCTCGCTTTAGGAAACGCTTTCAACATGCGAAGAGAGAGAGAGATCGCTTGGTTTCTCACTCCTCAGGCAAAGAAACAAAGAAAGATAGAGAGACAAAGCGATGAAGGTGTATTCCTCCGTCTCTCCCAAGGAGTTGTCACTGCAATTCCGATAGGGAAGAAACAGACGTGAGACGAAGCGCTCTCTCCCTCTTCTCGCCCACTCCGTCTCCCCTTTTTTCCTCTTCTTCTCTTCCTGGTCAAAGCTCTCGTTATGTTATAAAAAGATCTCTCAAATCAAATATTTATTAATTCCAAGATACCTTACTTCACTAAAATAATCGCATTTAAATGTTGATCGATCCCAAGAAAAAGGAAACATTTTAATTTCTTAATTTTCTTTCACTTTTGGTGATTTATTTAAATTTACATCATTTTTAAAATCATAAAGTATTTCTAAAAATTTACATAATTGCATCTAAAAATATATTATTATTATTATTAGTATTATTATTATTATTATTATTATTATTATTATTATTATTTTGAATTGCATCACACTGATATCCTATTACTCTATCTAATCATATTATTAAACAATCCACGGGTTATAATTAATTGCCCATTACACCTCGAATCTTAAACAAATATCTGATTTAAGATTAATAAAATTAATTTCATCGCTAAAAGGTTTGCACATTTTATTTTATTGGAAATAACCATGGATTATATTGTATGAATCAATGTTTTTTGGGTTTTCTCTATATTTGAAATAGAGATTTTTTTAACCATTTCTTGGGTTTCTTGATCGACTCTTCGTCTGTTCGATCAAACGATACAGATTTTTTTTTATTTTTTTTTTTTTGCATATTGATATTGGACGAATATAACGAGAGTTATCTTAAAAATCCGTGGCCTGAATATATAGTTTTCATAACAATAAAAATAATAATAACAAGGAGAGGTTTTCAACAATAACAATCATAATAAATAAATACCATAACAATGATAATAACAAGAAAGAAGAAAAGGTTTTCAGCAGCCGGGGACTCGGCAGACGCAGGAATCATTAGGGTAGGCGGTGGAGAAGCAAAAGCCGTGAGAGTCGTGGCCGG